CAGTACCGAAACGTACAAAACCCTTGCTACTCAAAGTGTGGTCTGTGGACCAGCATTATTAGCAACACCTGGGAGCTGGTTTAGAAATGCAAATTCTTGGATTCCACCCCAGACCTACTGTATCGAAGTCTCCATTTTAATGAGACCCCCAGGTAATTCTTGTGCATATGAAAGTTTGAGAAGCAGTCTCCAGATTAATGAGAAGTACACACACTTAAAGGAGAGTAATTACTGTATCTCCCAACAATTTTCTAGAGTTTTCCTTAACATCCAGCTATTTCGCCCTGAAAAACTCAAAGCACCAGAGAGTGATGGGAATAAATCCTAGCGTCTGCTGCCACCTTGTGGTGGGAAGTTTCAATCTATCCAGAATTTGCTCTTTTCCATGAAATAAATGGGGAAATGTTAGAAGGAAGGAGTGGATCAACTACTCCACTGTTTTCAGCCCTATGCTTTGAGACACCACTACAAAATTGCAAGATATGATAAAACAGCCCTTGAGCTAAATAACAACTGTTTTTTTTCATGTGTGAGTCCAGGACAGAGAGTATCATCAGCTCTAGTTGCGAGATCTAACAAAAGCTGGAATCACTGGTATTGCTATAGGTTCTTTCCTCTTTGGAATTCAGCATGCATATCTGAATGTGATAATCAATTGGTATGTGAATATTTTATTACCAACCCAAATGGCGGTGGTTAGATAATCAAGTCACCTTTTCTACATTTGCCTTGCCCAGGAATCTACAACACATATTCCACAAAGTGAAAGGGAATTTCCCACCACTCTGCCAAATGCATCATGGGTGACGTGTGTGAAGTGGTAAACAGGGTCAGTGCCACAAATGATGTCTCTAACACCTGGAAGGGAATAAAAAAGAGATTCCAAAAATTTCCTACATACTCTATCCCAAAGGGCCCAGAAGTTAAAAGTGCCTCAGTCACTGGATAATTGTGTTTCAAAGTTTGTGAGCTCAAGAACTAAAGAAATCCAAATAGCTACTACAGGTGAAGGTGACAGCAATGGATCATCCTCAACTATATCTACCAGAGGCCTCTAAGGTTGCTTATGGAAGAGTTGGCCAGTACCGAAGGTTTCAGCAACGCAGAAGGAAAAATAGCTCGTTCAAAAGGAAAGGGATTGACAGGTAGGCAATTGCGACATATTTTCTTGTCCATTGAGTGGGATTCTTTGGATTTTGGATTAAACAATATTCACTGTGATATTAGAAAATGTAGCATCTCTTTTTAAACATCGCATTTAGAAATGAAGGCTACATATGGGTTAGAGGGAGAGGGCACCGCATTTATATATTGGATCGAGAAGCCTAGTGCTATAACAGAAGCCTCATTTCATGATCAGAAAAATCTTAAATATAGTAAAGAAAACCTTTCCCTTCCACCTGAATTTGAGTTTTAATGTGGCATACAACACCAAAATAAAAAGCTGATACTAATTTCAGTATCTCAGAATTTTAAACATTGCACATCCCATGCAGATACTATATTGAAAATTCAGTAGTACATCCTTCCAGATGAGTCCATGATCGATGCTTTTGTTCCTTTTCCGAGTAATTTTGGCTGCCGAAATAGGTACTGATTGTATTTCACCTATGTGTATACTCTTTAATGTAACTTTAAAACTGTATTATATCTGATATTTCTTGCTAGTGGGAAAACCATAAACACAGGTATGAAATATTTCGAACATAATACATTTTAATTTGTAAAGTCAGTGAGATGATTTATTTTCTAATTTCTTTTGACTTCTTTCTTACCAGGTTCATTAGCAATAGCTTAGTCACATAGAACTGAGATATTTTCATGAGGCCTGAAGCACCAAAGACCAAACTTTTGAACTTTAATGGACAAGATAAAAATTTGCAGATATTTCCACTTTCAATAAGAAATAGAGGTTAAAAGGTAAAGCAATATAACCAAATAAATTCACTACCAACCAAGAAATTTAAAAGAACTCTTCTCGAGAAGAGTTCTTTTCATAACAGAAATTGCTGCGTTTCTGTTCCTAGGCCCTGAAGTAAAATCACCTGTTAATTGTTGCAGATTGGAGATGGGGTGTGGGTATGAGAATAGGAAACATTCTAGATTCAGAGACTGCTTAGAGCTGGCTTTTTACCTGAAGGGTTGCCTTTGGGGTTCTCGAACCTCCTAAATTATATGTGTGCGTGGATGTGCGTGTGTGTATTTATGGTAGTAGAAACTGATGGCTTTATTAAAAGATTCTCAGAAGTGTCTATGGGATATTAATTCTAGCCCATAAATGACCTTTGTGCAAATTAGAAAATGAAATTCTGGATACTTTACTGGCATTTTATTATGGTAACTATGTACAACTAAAATGGCTAATTATGAATAGTACCGTAGAAGTTGTGTGTGTTCAACCAACAGAACTCTATGTCTTTGGTCCCAAAAGGGAGGCTGCTAGCCCAAAAGGTCTCCCTTCTTTTGACTTCTAGCTTGTGCTCCCTCCTTGCCTCTTCCATTTTTCCCACACAGATCTAATCCACATGGTAATAAAAGCTATCATTTATTGAATGTTTTATTAGGTTCCAAGCTCATAAGTTATTTTTTCTTTGTACATTTTTGAGAATGGTATACTTATTAACAAATATGAAAACTGAAGTTTATAGATGTTAAATAACGTGCCCAAGATTACACAGCTAGGAAGTGTGGTGCTGGGTTGAACCAAGACCATTTAATTCCAGTGCCTGGAATCTTACTGAACTATTCCCCATGCGTAATTATAGAGAAGATGAATAATTTATGCCCAGTTTAGAACAATGTGTTTCCTGGAGGATAGTATAGGTGCTAATGGTGGTACTTGAGATATTTTACATAGTATATGCAGAACTTTTTTTAATGGTTATGAATTTATTTACATCTATTTTAGAAATACATATTACATGTATAATACATGTAATATAAAACCTGGAATTTCACCCAAAGAAATGAAGATTTATGTTTACACAAAAACCTATACACAAATGTTTATAGCAGATTTATAATAGCCCCAAATCTCTTCCAATGAGTGAATGGTTAGACAAAATGTGGTACATCTACATCATGGAATATTACTCAGAAATAAAAGAGAACAAACTATTGACACACATAACATCGTGGATGAATCTCTAGGGAATTATGCTGAGTGAAAAAAGTAAATCCCCAAATGTTATACATTGTATGATTCCATTTATATAACATTCTTGAAAGGACATGTTATACAGATGGAGGACAGCTTGGACAGGCATTAAGGAAAATGTGAGGTGAGTAGGAAGTAGGTGTGGCTATAAATCACAAAGGTTCATTGTTGTGATGAACATGTTCTGTATCTTGACATTATTAATGTCAATATCCTGGTTGTGATAACATATTATGGTTTTGCAGGAGGTTACATCAGGGAAAACCAGATAGAGTACACAGAGAATCTCTCTGTATTATTTCTTACAACTGTATATGAAACTACAATTATCTTGAAATAAAAAGTTTAATTTTTTAAAACCCCTGGATTTTATGGATATTATTGCTTTGGATGAGACTAACAAAAAAAATAATTTAGGAAGAATATTAGGTAAACAATGTTATTATGGAATGAGTGATGTTTACTCTAGCACAGAGAATAACAACACAGACTTGGAGATCAGACTGTCTGGGCATAAGTTATTTAATCTTTCCAATTTTTAATTTCCTCATTTTTAAAATAGAGAAGACAGCATGAAAGTTAAATTATATAATACACATTAAAAAGCAGAATATTTAGCACATGCAAAGCTATTAAAAATTTTATCTATTTTTATTACTAAAATATATCCAAATAATGAAGATGGTATATGACTATTTGGAATTTTGGAACTAGGAGCTTAGAATTATTCTCTCTAAAAGAGTGTTCTATGTATATGCAGCATTTATGGGACCTTGGAGACTATATTCTTTATTGACTACGCTAGTAGACTCATTTCTCATTGTGATAGCCTTAGAACCATCAAATGCAGCAAGAAGTATGTCAAACTACCTTTGAAACAAAATGACCAATTTGCCAGTATGAGGTAATATATTCTAATAGTCACAAACTGGGATTAAAATCTGCATTCTATGTTTGGTCAACTAATTTAACCTCTCTATGTCTCAATTTACTCATTAATAGTATGAAGATAATATAATCTGCCTGCTATAAGAATTAAATGAGATAATGACCAGAATGCACTTAGTACAGTTCGGTGACAAAACACCAAGTAGTTACTTTGGCTTTATTTTTCTGTGATTTGATTCTCTGTCTTTAATTTCATTTTTTGGAATTGTATAATTTGTTCACTTTTGCCTTTTGGATTTTAATTATTTCAATTATTATTAACTTTTCAGTTTCCTTAACACAAATTATTTTTATTTTGTTTAGATGGCATAGAGCTGGGTCTACCAACTTAGTAAAACAAAATGTATTGGTCCCCAAAGAGGAATCCTCCAGTGATAGTGACATGGAATTTTGTGAAAGCCAGCAAAATCAGAAAAAAAATGTGATGAAGAAAGTGAAGACTGTTTTGGGGATGATGTTGCCATACAAGGACAGAAGCAAACCAGCAAGTGTCAGTGGAGAGGGCTTCTCTAACCATAAGGAAACCTGCCTTTCAGACACACAGAAACTTCTTCCTAGAGTCGTCAAGAAGTTTCCATCACGCAAGCTGTTTACCAAACCAAGAATGGGAATGCTCTTGCAGCATGGCAATCAAAGGCAATGTATTGTTAAGCAGCAGGGCCAATAGGACTAATGAAATAGAATGGATTTTCTTTCTACCCAAAGTATGGCATCTCCTGGGAGCTTGTCTGAAATGTAGATTCTCAGGCCCCACCCGGGTCTACTGAGCCAGAATCTGTATTTTAGGAAGATCCTTAAGGAAACCAGTATGTACATACATTTTGAAAAGTTCTGAATGAGATTGCTGGTAAGGTAACTCCTAGTCCAACTGATCAGTGGTTTAATCAATTTAAAGCCCTTTTTATTTAAATATATGCATACATAGGCATATAATTGTGTGTATATATATATATATATATATTAGAAAATCAAATTAAAGTGGGATTTTTTTGTTTCGTTTTGTTTCTGGAGAAAGTAGTGATGTAGCCTTTCAAATGATTACTTCCAACTGTACAGGGTGTGGTAAGAATTCTATGAATAAAATTTATGATTAGTAAGTCATAAAGGACGTTCTATTTTATTATATCTACTTCCCATGTATTTTGTGGAAGAAACAACATTTGAAACTGTTAACTTTAAGTCTTTTTTGCAATGTAGTTATACTGTTTTGGGGGGTCCTATGAGTGATGACTAATAATGCCACTAATATTTGCATTCTCTTCTGCAGCTTTCTAAAATTAATAGACCTTATTTTTTAGAGCAGTTTTAGGTTTACTGGGAAAATTAAGCAGGAAATACAGACTTAGTTTCCATATACCCCCTCTCCTTACTCCAGCCTCACAACTGATGAGCCAATATTGATATATTATTGTTAACTAAAGTCCACAGTTTACATGAGGGTTCGCTTTTTGCCCTGCAGTATGGATTTGAAAAATCCATCATGTCTTGTCATGTACTCACCATTACAATATCATACAGAATAGCTTCACTGTCCTAAGTGGCCTCTGTAGCTTTTGAACATTCTTTACAGTACAGCATTGGCATGTAGAGATTCCTTATGTATATGTAGAGAATCTATACATAAACTCACATTTCACACAGTGATAAGGCTGCAAATCTGGTCGGTATTTTTTTCCAGAAAAACAAAAACAAAAACAAAAAACTGATGGCTTCCAACTGAGTGAATGCCCTTTCAAACAAACTCCCTCTTCTTGAAAAAGCAGTCACTAATTCAAGATCCAAGCATCTAGCAATCCTGGTATAGATTGACCTGCCTATTTCTATACTGATGGGGCTGGAGTTGGAGAGTCCAACAGGAAAAGGAGGACGAAATTCCTTACCTTCATCTCTGTACATTGGTTTATTTTCTTCTTAGTCGAAATAACAAATCTCTAGATTAAGATTTCTCCAGAAAACATGCCCATGCTTCAGGCTGCAACTCAAGTATTATGACTCTGTCTCAGCTATGGCTCACAGTTGCTCTTCCTTGCTGACCCTCATAACGCTTTTCAGCAAATATTTGCTAAATACTTATTATATGTCAGCCACACTATTAGCGATAGAGTAGCAGATAGAACAGACATGGTCCCTGCTCCCACAGAGTTCCAGTATAGAGAGACATTCCAACATTATACAGTTGATTACATCTGATGCAAAGTAGAAGTACAGGGAGCTATTAGGGATACACATCATACATGCTAACTTTAGGGGAGGGGTCTCCAGAAAGGCCTTCCTGAGGAAGGGACGACTCAGTTGAGATCTGAAGAATAGCTAGAGTCAAATAAGGAAAGAATAGGGGAAGGACAGTGTCCCAGGAAAAGGGTATAGCATATTCAAGTCTCAGTATCAAGAGAGCACCAGGCATAATTAAGAAATGAAAGTAATCTAGCCAGGATTGAGGTAGCAAGGGTGTTGAAAGCCCTGTTAAGAATTTTTAACTTTTCCTAAGGGTGATGAGAACCATTGAATACTTGCAAGCTGGGAACTTATATAAATTCAGATTTGCATTTTTAAAAGGTATCTCAGGCTGCAGAGTGGGGACTGGATTGGAGGAGGGCAGGAAGAGATGCATGAGGAACAATAAACAGGTTCTTTCATTCAGGCAAAGGATGATATTAGCTTGAGCTGGTCATGATAGTAGAAATGAGGAGGTAAAGGGAGAAGTATTCCTAGGTAGAAGTTACAAGATTTGGGCAAGAGCTGGACAGTATAGGGTCGGGGAGAAGGAAGAATACCTAGGTTGAGTACCTGCTTTTAACGTGAATACCCCATTCACTGAGATTAGGAGCCATGGCTCCCAGAGAAGTCCTTATCAACAGACTTCAAGCAAGACAAGATGTTTTTCAGTGCTGCTCACCATTTGAAAACACTGAAACACAGCAAACTGCAAACACTTTTTTCTCAATGCCCTTGTTGATCCCTTTGACTACATCAATGAAAAATCTCATTTCCTGCCTTTTCTCAAAAAAATAAAAATAAAAAGCAGAGTAACCTCAAGTTTAGTGCTTTCTGAAGGCAATAATATGGTTTTGTTCTTACCATGTTAATTTTCATGTCTATTTATGATACTGGTTTTTGACTTATGATAGCATTTTAAAGTTTTCTTTATAAGTATGTTTATTGTGTTAGGAATTGAATGATATAAAGAAAAATATTAAAGAGTCCAGAATTCACATGGCTCCTGGAATATGGGAAAAACTATTAAGTTGGTATATGAATTCCTGAGCCATGAGCCACATTGCTGAAGAGTAGATTTAAACTTTGCTTCAACCAATGGCAAATATTCAAGGGATCATCTTACACATTAGAGGGTTACTTTTTAATTTTTTTTTTTTAATTACACAGCAGTTAAAGAGAAAAGCAACAGAGGGCAAAATTGAAGTCTCAAAGACAAGGAGGTAACCATCTTGCCAATACTGGTTGGTGACCCCCAAGATCACAACCCCAAGAAGAGGCAAATGTGTGCAAGAGAAAGTATAATATACAGAAAAGTAAATCTTTTTTTTTTTTTTCAACCCCAAGGAGAAAAGCTACTGAGGCAGAATAGGATGCTGTCTTTTCAGAACAATTTCTATTACGAAGAATATGTTTATAACTGTGATCATTACAGGTTCCTTCCTTCCCCCCCCCCAACCCCCGCCCTCACTTTAAGCATCTATACAACTTGATGTTGTAGAAGCAGAAACAGAGGAGATAACCCAAGGAAATACACTCCTCTGGACCAGGAGAACCACCAAGCGTTTATCTGTGACATCCCTTCCTTTAGGACTGCAAAAGGTAAAATGCTAAAACATACTCACCTCTAATGACTTATGTATATATAGTCAATGTTTAGGGATGTTGTAAAAGCCATATTCTCTCTGACCACAAGTACCCCACAAGAAAGCCTTTAAAATCTGCTGCTTGTGTCTCTTCTCCAAGAATTTAGGGCACAGAAAGCAGGCTTACCAGGTCTGATTCCTCCAGTCTGAGCTCAAACTGTTCAGTTTCCAATATAATCTGGGCTACAGTGGAGGACTGAACTATCATAATTTTAAATGTAACAAGCATTTACTTAAAGCCAATTATGTTCCAGGCCCTGTTCTAAGTGCTTTAAAAATATTAACTTATCATACACCTGAAACTAATATAATTTCGAATGTCGTGTAACTGAAAAAATGTTCAATTATAATTATTAAAAACATCAGTTTATCAGATAATCCTTACAACTGCCCTATAAGGTAGGTAGCAATGCTGTTCTTATTTTAGAGATGGCACTGAGAAGTTAACTAATTTGCTCAAAAGTGGCAAAGCCAGGCTTCAAACCCACGAAGACCTGGCTCTAGAGTCTGTACTCTTAATTACTATGCTAAGTACTAATTGTACCATCGAATATGGTAGCCAACAGCTACAAGGGACAATTTAATTAAAATTAAATAAAATTAAAAGTTCAGTTTTTTTCATTGCACTAGCTACCACATGTGGCTAGTGATTGTTGTACTGTACAGCACAGAAAAAGAATATTTCCTTTTTCACAGAAAGTTCTATTAAACAGCACTGCCTAAAGCATCACTGTCAGAGTACAGTTTTAAATTTTAAATTTTGCTCCTGTGTTAGATTCTTGTTTATTGTATTCCTATTATCTTCTGGGCAATTCCTAGGTCTGGGGCTACGAAGGTGATCCAATGGACATGGTCCTGTTTCGTGGAATTGATAGTTTAATAGAGGTAATAGACATTAAACCATGGCACTGCAGAATAGTGGGGTAAGGATAACCTTTTGAATAAGTAGCACTAGGACAAGTGGACATCCATATGGGGAAAAGATAAAATATGATTCCTAGTCACACCATATATAAAACTTAATTCCTGTTGGGTTATAGATCTATACTGGAAAAGTAAACTTAAGGACAATAAGAATATCTTCATGACTTCCCTATAAAGAAAGACTTCCTAGAACACAGACAGTATTGACCATACAGGAAAAGATGGATACATTTGGCTGTATTAAAATTAAGAACTTCTGTTTGTCAAAAACATTAAATCAAATGTTGTCAACCGGCTATAGAAGGATTTTGTTTATGTCTCAGAATGTTCTCAAAAATATGTTTGAATTACATTCCCACATTTAAAAATTAGAATTATTTCAAATAAAAATCTGTATCTTTGGCTTTCTTTTAAAAAATAGGAAGATTCGGAAATGCTAAGCCCCCAGTTCCTCATGGCAACAGCAAGAGCTACAAAGAGGCTGCCCACTTTGCTTGAGGCACGTTCTCTCCAGTTCACACCAACACCTGCTGGTTCTGTGTTACAAAATCTGCCTGGCCCCTCTAGGCATTTAATTTTATATTAGTGGTATTCAACAAACTGAAAAATAACTTAGTAATTACCAAGTATGGTAGGTGCTTAGTAGGAAAAATTACTGAGTTTTATGAGAGAGAAAAGAGAGAAGTCCAACTATAAATGAATTAGAGACGGTTCTGCAAGTGACGTTTGAGCCTGGGCAAGATGGCAGGGCAGAGTGGTGGTTCAACAGACTCATTTGTCAACTCTCTCCTCAGGCAAAGGGTAGGACCCAGATGGTGTCTCATATCCTACTTTAAGTAGGTCTTGCAATAGTCTTAATGCTACTTAAGAAGGGGAAGAATGAATGAACCTAGTAACAAAAAGGACACATTGGCCAGGAGCTATGACCTAGGAATGATTTCCAAAAGCAATGCTTTTAGGACAGATACCTGTAACAGCACACTGAGGATGAGAGGAAAAGTATCAGGCATGTGGCAAAAAGAACCCAGAGCTTTCTTTTTATTTTTAGAGACATGTCTGCCATGAAAACAAGGAAACACACGCACACAAAAAAAAGACCATATTAACAACTGGATCCAGTGATAATGAGCTTTCTGGGGCACTGGTCCACAACAGCCCCACACTCACTGTGCTCAGCAGTTGCAGAGACAATTTCTTCTCCTTCCCCTTACGAATGACCTGCTTTTTTTCTGTCACTGTATATTCTTTCAGAGCCAGACAATCTCATTTCTCTGCACCCTATAGATCTCTTGAAAGAGAGCTCTGGGCACAAAGGAGATACATAGGGCGTGGAGAATAATATGAATACGGTCACCAACGCAACATTGTTACGTGGCAAATGTTCAGTTTATAAGAGACTACCCCAAGGGTGAGAATTCTTATTTAAGCACTGTCACAGAATTAATGTGGGTACTTCTGAATCTGGTGTGTTTTTGCATTTTTATGATAGGTTCCGTATTCCTCAAAAAAGAGACCACGCTTCCTAGCACTTAAAAAAAAGAAACATGGCATGGAAAATATCCTCTAAAAATCAGATTTGACAGTAGGAAAGCTTCAAATGCAGGTAGTGGACAAAGGCTTTTAACTTTTGTATTTCAGAAGCAGCAGGCCAGGTTTAACTGAATGCAGTCCTGCAAGACAGCACAGCTGTGGGATGAAATTAATGATTCCCATTAGGAAATAAGGTTAGTGGGGGGCATTTTGAGAGTAGCTAAAGGATTGCTAAGGGCCTGAGGATGATGTTGTATGCCTAATAAATATTAAGTGAATTCAATTAAAATGAAGGCATACACAGAGGCTTCTTTTAAGAAATGAGATCATCTTTAACACTGGGTGGTAAATATGTTTTCAAGCTCTGTTGCTATGCCTTGAATTAGAATAATACTTTGGGACTTGCAAAATGTCCACCAATTCCTGAACTCATCTCTCAGGAAAGACAACCATCCCTTTGGTTCTGACAAGGCTTTCCAAAACATGGCTTCATTTCTTTGTATCCATCTGTCATAGGTAGATGACCTCATGGAAACAGTGACTGATAAGTCCATGAAGTTACTGGCCCAAAGACATGCTGAGCTTCAATAGTGTGAGTTTCTAGGGGAGGAAATTCTTCAGTCTTCTAAGCAGTTCCAGAGGATTTCCAAGAGAACCATGAGAAAGTATAAATTGAGAATGTATGTTTGCCATGTACCTGCTGCTGCTTCTGATTTTGTTCCTGACTGCATAAAAGTTATCTTCATAAGGATTCTTATCTTTTGCTACATAATATCCTGAATAAATCTCTCTAGTGAATTAACTAATGGGGGAGAGGGGACATTTTTTAGAATATTTTGCCCAGTATTCCTTTAAAAAATGCTTTTCAACAGTTGATTTTTGATTCTGAGTCAATATAAGCAAAATTTTACATCATAATTCTTACTAATAATGAAACATTTATTAAGGCATAGCAATTCTGCAAAGAAATTTCTCCCATGATTTGCCAGATGATATTAGAGGAAGCATTTAAAATATTATGACATTTTTAATATGACTACTACTGGGCTAATTTTAAACTCATTTTTAAAGATAAGAATTCTTACTAAAAGTATAAAAACGTAACATTACTAAGGTATGATTGATGCAAAGTGTCATGTTTTTGAACTGAAATAAATAAATAAGGATGGAATCTAACAAGCATTTAAAATGTTATTCAATACTTAAACAATTACAAATGATTCAGCCTTAGCTTAATTTTTAAAAAGATCATGAAATCCTTTATATCTTCACGAAAAATTTATCGCAAACTACTCTTCACTTTAGCAATACATTTCTTTTTCCATTGAAAATGATTCTTAAAGAACAAAACAGTAGAGAGAAAATATATGAACTTAACATTTAACAACTACATTGCTCAAGTATTAAGGAGAGAGATCTATAAAGTAATATATATGGACTTACTTTGCATCTTGTTATTACCTCTTACACTAGTGATTCTTAGTATCATGGAACCTGTCTCGCATAATAAGCATACACCACAAACATTTTGCACATAATTTTATAAGTTCACAACTCTCCTGAAGCCTCTACTTTCAAAAGTGGTAACAATTTCCAGAAATTGGCTCATTTTTTTCATGTACATCCTAGAAATAGCATCTACTCATAATCTTCGACTTATTTTGTAAGCAAATCAATGTGAACAGTTTAAATCTACCTGGAATTCTTATGAGCACAAACATATCTGATTTGAAACCATTTTATTAAACAATTTTGGATGTTGCTTCCTATCTTTTAAGTTTAAGAATAAGAAAGTTATTTCAATAAAAACAAATCTATATTGAAGTCATTTTCCTTTGTGCAAAGAAAATGAATGAATTGTACATTAATATTTAAAAGCAAGGTAGTTCACTGCCAAAACTTTAAATATCTCAAAAGCACAACAAATTCTCTACACACTAAGATCATGTTGCTACTTCAACAATCTTGGGAATGGAGAGCGATTGTCTATGGCTTAGGATCTGCTTCCATGCTTGTTTCCTGAGCTTCTTCTACCTCTGAGAGCTTTTCATCATCTATAATTGATAAAGAAACAAATTTACTTAAATTATATGTTTAACAAATACACAAAAACATTTTTATCCTTTATTAGCTAGTATATTTTTAAAAAGATGCCAAAATGACAATCTATGACTATAATTTGGCCCACACAAGTTTTTGGTTTTAAAAGTTCCATTTTGGTTGTTGTGCAGTAGTTGAATCAAAATGTAAAATCTATGTGATAGATTTTTATTAAAAAAAAATCTAGGTCCTAGGCTTTTCTTGAAAACGATCAGATCAGATCACACAGAAATTTCCGATTGGCTGTAGTCAATATGAAGAGCAAGTCTCCAGTTCCCCCAAAGCACCCATCATTCACTGAATATGCACATGTTCTTATGCACTAATTGGTTTACTCACTTATCATTGCTTGTCTGAGTCCTAAATTGTCACTTTATACCAATAAACTATAATAAAAGAAAAATTCCAAATCTATCATCCTTGAGTTTCTCTTAATATAAACTATTGGATATGTGTTTAAATCATGTATTAGTATAAATTCAGACTTTTCTGCATATGTTCAGAATGCTGAACAATATGAGTACCTTCTAACGTCATCCAGCTGTACTGCTGTCCTGAACCTGAAGGAGTACTTTCTCTTTACAATGTATATTTTAGAAGGCATGCCCCTGAATTATTTAAAAATCTTCATAAATGTTGGTTATGAAACTATTTTCACTTACTTTCCAGTGTTTGTTGAAGTTCATGGATGGTACTAAGAAGAACGTGAAACTGTTTTCGTCTCAATTCCAGCTATGTTAACAAGAAAAAAATTAATATGTGTCGATCTGTAAACACATACATATCATGAAGACTAATACATATATGCAAATACCTTATCTTCAACACTTTCTTTAATATGTGAAAGATGCTCTAATTCTTTTCCCAAAGCCTCTAGTTCCCTGAAAAAATAAATAAAACAGTCTTATATTTTGCTATTTGGGGGAACAGAATTCACAATTAATACCCAACTTTTTCATTACTAAGTAGTATTTTAAAAATAAAAAAAGGATAAGGAGTGATAACACTCTATTATGATGAGACTTTTAAAGCTAAGGATGATTTCTTCTTAACCTCTAAATATATGCTTATTTTCAAAATTTTTAGCTAATTTTTAAAGTATAGAAAAACATAGATAATAGAATATCAAACTCCAAGAATTGAAAAGTTTTAAAATTTCATCATACTTATTTCAAGTTTATATATATGTAAAATGTAAAAGAAATAAAATATTGCAGATTATCTTGAAATACATTTTGAACCTTATCTCCAATCCTCTATCCTAGGTCTTTTTTCTTTACCTCCCACTCAGCTAGTCACTATATAGCTCCAATCCTTTTTTAATGTATATATTTGTATCTCTAAATAATATACAGTGTTAGTATATAAGGTTTTAGGAGGCTCTAACTTTTATAAATGGTTATTATTCTTCATGTATTTTAGAAATTTAGGAATAATTTAACATTCATTATGTCTTGTTTTTCTTTTCTCTGATTATGTTTTTGAGATTTGTGTTTAAAAAGTGTATACTTTATCCTTTTTAACTGCTACTTAGTATTCTACTATATGAGTAGACCATATTCTATTCATTTTCACATTGATTTATATTATATGCACTTATTTTAGAACTATAGGCAGTAAGGTGTGAGGAACAGAAAATCTAATTGACAGTATTAGAATATGTAATATAGATGATCTGATCTCTCCTTTGGGAATATATTATGTATTCTTGTAAAAATGAAATGCATAGACCAGTATGTAACATTTATGTATAAAGATTAGTTACTTTCAAGTAAAGCTCTAAACTTACTTTAATGTCTCATGCCTGTCTGGATGATGTTGGATCACTTTTGCCAAAGCATCATATTCTGAAACATATAAAAATATTTACCAAATTAAGGTGTTTTGAACCTGGATATCAAAACAGAATGTATCATATCACAAATTTCTCCTAATCACTTTCCTAGTACATAAATAAATAAAAACATTGAAGGATAGAAAAGAGTATTATCAGTTTCACTTGATTTAACTATAATGATACATGACTTCAAAAGTGTTCCAAACAAGGACTTTAGCTCTCCCACTGTTTTCCATTTACCTATTCATGGGCTGACTATAAGAGACCAGCATAAGCATAAGTGATCTTAAGTCATTATTGATCATCAAGTGGACTGATTCTGAAGAGGATAAATAAAAGATCAAATAAAAGATCAGCAAGATAAATATATCATACTATTAATTTCAGATCTTAGACAATAGCAAATTACATTTCTCACTCATTCTAAAGGTAAAATTTCAGAAACTTAGAAATGATTTAAAATTCAGGAACCTTGTTTCTGCTCCACTGAGACCTCCAAGATAAGTCATGTATCTCCTGTTAACCTCTTATGAAATGATAAATGGCAGCATTCATTTAAAAGCTTCCTTAGTCAACAAAACCACTACGAAACATTTAAAATGATTTTAGAATTAATATTGATAATTAAATAAGTTAGTATATCTTATAAATTGGCCACTGAAACTTGACTACATGTATTCTAGACTGAATTAAAAATACAACTTTTAAAAATAAGTAATTAAAAGCGATCTTAATTAGTTCATTAAAAAGTAAAATTCATTGTTTTGAAAATTAACATATTAACTCAATAAAAGTGTGAGTTTTAATAAATTTTTTTTATTACAAAATAATACATGTTCAGTATAAAAAGAAAGAAAAAAGTCATAAAAACTCACAATCCCAAAATAACCATTAACATTTTTTATTTTCTTCTAGTTTTTTCATCTATGTCACAATTATGATTATACATTATATTTTTATCTTTCTTTCCATTTACATCATAGGAGAAGCAATGCCTCTGCCATTAAAAATCATTTTGAAATAGTTTTTGTGGACTGCAATAAGGACATACCCTAATTTAAAAACAAAAGAGATCAAAACAAAACTAAACTTTAACCTTCTTCTTATTATTTAGGAAGCTTTATAAATGTTTGTTTGCTTTGTACCTAATAAAAAGTCAATAGGCTTAAATTCTTTTCTTTTTCTTTGTTCTGAAAGTAGCTCCATTAAACAAACAAATACCAACAAACAAAACCCTAAATCTAGTGTACTTGTATAAACTGCTTTTGCTGATTAATCATAACATTATTTTGGCAAAGGAGATTGAAGACAGTAAAAAACCAAATACTTAAGAAATACTTGGATAATCAAAACAACCCAGTGGTGGGGGGTACTTTTTTCAGCATAGTCTTCCTTCTTCGCTATTTTAAAAAATAATAGTTTTAAAGAATTTAGTTTGGCTTCTAATTCTTTTTTGTATTTCAGGTTGATTCTAGCCGGAGATTTTACCTCACATTAAAAACTGCATGAAAATATTAGTCAGTAATAAAGTATTTGCACACTAAATCCCACAAAACCCTTACCTTGGCGATTTTTTCGTATTCGTTTTGCTTGAAGAATTTGCTTTTTGCACTCAGCAATTTTTTCATGTGCTCCAGCAATGCTACATTCTATATAAAAAGGTTCTTTTTAAGACAGTTATAACAACATGAAATAATCTTCATTCATTTTCAACTTTAAAATGTGTTTTTAAATTAAGTTCCATTGCTAATAGATGCTGGCATTTTAAAAAATAGTTGTAAATTAAAGTACTGTATCATATTAGAACACATTTTTATAACTAACATTTACTATATTCTTTCTATTAATGTTAATGTTGTTATTATTTTACCACTAACCAAAGAAAAATATTAGCAGGTATTGTTTCCTTTAGACCATAAAAATTAAAATTAGAGATAGAGAAACATTAATTACTTTAAGTTTCTTTACCTATGTCTTTGTAAATTTTCTCATAATTTTCCATTTCTCTGAGATTCATATCATATACCAACAAGGTTTTGCCCATTGAAAATTCACACTGAGACAGTGTGCTCAGCATACGTTGGTACTGGCTGTATCTAATGAAAAAGAGAAACAGAATAAAGATTTTTATGGCTTGCCAAAGCTGAACTATTTATAGTACAGGCAAAGATGTGCTAATTAAATTATACCAAGTTCTTGGAGAATCTTTTGCTTTATTTAAAATAGTTTATGATATCTATCCATTATGTTTTTTTCCCAAATGCAGTATACTTGAATTTATAATTTGCTTCAGTTACAAATGCAATGATGAGACTGTTGTTCTTATCAATATAAGCTTAATTCAAACAGCTATTTGTTTGAATTTTGTTTAAATACTTTTTTAAATGTTTTGATCAAGATGTCTTTTTATCTTTACAATGCTGTTCTCACAATTTTTTCATTCTACACAATTATTTATCCATGTGAAAAGCTAATTCAGATGAGAAAATTTTTTCTAAGTTTGAAAATTATTAAATATATATAAAACTTTGCAGCAACTTATTTTAAAAAGAACATTTCACTTAGATATTTTGTCTTTCTAAACACTTATTTGCTAAAACTGACCAAATTAATGAGCCTGAATTTAATCTTCATTTCTTCTTACCACTATGCCTTCTTCACGTTTTAATAAACATAAAGCAGGCCTCTCAAGAGAAGTCAAGGACAGAAGAATCTATTCCTGATTAACCAAGAGTTGACTTCATTGGACATTTAAGGTGAGTGAAAATCTGCAATATTAACATGACTATGTGTATGATCTAAAAATCACATCAGGACATTGGTATAGGAACAATAAAAAGAACAATAAAATGAACTACCCCTCTTCCTGGGATCCAGAGTTGCACCATTTAATGAAACTTTTCACTAGCAGATTAATTCTCCGATCATCTCCAGCACCATCTCCATCAATTAGGAGACGTTTCCTTATGACTTCGTCTGGAGAAAAGAAGAAAAGCAGAACCATGTAAATTAAAAAAACTGGCTCTTGTTAACTTTCAGGAACAAATAACCAATATCACTACTTACCAAAAAAAAAAACTGAAATGAAAATATACTTGATGCCACTGAACTGTACACTTAAAAATTGTTAAAATGGTCAATTTTTGTTATGTATATTTTACTACTATATGTAACATATATAATTAACATATATATAAAGCAATTGAGTGTCTATTTGTGTCAAGCACTATTCTAGGGGTTGGGGTTATAGTAGTGAAAAGCTCTACCCTAACAGAGCTGGGATTCTACTGCTGGGTTGTTGAGTAGAAATAATTTTCAGGTACCACCAAGAAAATAAACCAATACTTCTTGGAGAATTTTTTCTGAAAAAACCTGTTCAGACAGAAGGAAGACTGAAGTGTTAGTATCTCTTAGTGTGTGACAAACTGGAAAAAGGAATAGAGAAAAAAGATTTAAAAGATGTAATGGCAGATTTGAAAAAGAGAATGAGATGGGTCAGAGAAAAAGCAATGTATTTGTTTTTTAAAAATTTGTAATTTAGCTATTATATCTGCGATATTCTTTCCCCATGAGGACTTTTTCTTTCTTTTTTTTTTTAAACAAGTCTGTCTGTCTTTTGCTCCAAGGAAAAAAAAATGAATAGAAAAGCTGTGTGGATGATTATTATAAGTGGGACACCAAACTGCTGGCCTGGCAGCCCTGAGCTGGTGATCTTCCTGGATCATAATAAGACAAAGGCAAATTGAAACCACAATAAAATATCATTTTCATCTATCAGATTGGCAAAGGTCAAAAGACCTGATAATAAAAGTGATGAGAAACTGCAGTTACATACACTGGTGGAATGTAAACTGGTACACTATTTGTTGGACAACTGGGCAATAACGAATAATATTTAAAATGCACATACCCCATAATTCCAATTCTAGGAATTCATACTATAGATACATGTGCACTCATGCACAAAAATACATGTAAAGGGATGTTCTTAACAGTGTTGTTTGTAGTAGAAAGATTGTAAACCTAAACATTCACCAGGAAAAGACTGATTAAATTACAAAACATATATTATGCAGCCAAAATAGTGCAGGTGTATATGCTGATGCCACAAAATCCCCTTAGATATGTTAAGTAAAATGAAAACAAAACAGGTGCAGAGAAGCACAGTTTGCTGCCATCTGTGTAGAAAAGGGAAGACTTTGTTTATGCGTATGTGTGTACATATCACGTGTTGTTCGTGTAGTCAAAGAATGCCTTGGAAGCATACAAGGGAAACTGGTAATAGTGGTTATTTCCAGGGAGAGGGATGACAGAGGATAAGAAGAGATTTAATTTTCTAAATGGTTTTATAGAATTGTATTTGTTTGGTTTTTACCATGTGCATGCATTTTTTTTTTATAATAAATTTTAAAGTGTAAATAATTCCTGGAGAGCTTGCATGATGAATCAACAGCAAAATCTTTAAACAATAGTTCCTGTGTGTAGGCAGAAGTATTTCTGAGCGCAGGTGCAGCGGAGATAAACTTTGGAAAGCAGATGGCTCCAGTTTTAAAACTTATTCTGTGACAACATCAGAGAAACATTTTAGAACTGAGTTTTGTTCTCAGAGTCCGGCTGCTCAAACTACAGATTCATCAGGTGTTTCAATTTACACTTTAAAATACAAACTAATGCTTTTAGTTATTTGAGGAGACTGAGACAAAACAGTCCCAGCGGAGGTTAAAATGCAGAAAATGAATTTTTTAAAATTACAAACATGTTTTAACTTGTTAAAGTAATCATCCAATGGGTGAGAAGTCTGGTGTTCAATTGACACTGTTCAATTCTTTTGCTGGTCTTCTTATTTCTGCTCTTTCAAGCCCCAAAGAAATCTCTTCTTCCTCCCAGGTACCTGGGCACCTTACTTTATTGAGGACCAGGGATTTCCAATATAAGTGCATTCAGGGACTAGGGAATAAGGAATAGAAAATTTGGGGGAGTGAATACCGTAAGGAGGAAGCTATTAGCAGAACTGGTTTAGAAATCAAGTTTTTTTTCTAAAGTTTGCTAACTAAACAAAAAATGTTTCAAACAGATTTTTTAATCATTCCAGCTATATACCTAATATCTGTGCACTTTTATATGTGTATGTAATATCCCAATTACCAAAGTTTTTGAAAAATGTTTAAAACACTGTACAGGCAAATAAAGTTGAGAAAGGGTTCGTGAGGGCCAGTCCTATGTTGCTCATTCTGTTCCCCGCAGCCTCTCACACTGTCTTTACATTTCTGATGCTCTATATATATTTTAAAAATTGGATTTGTGGTGCCCGCCTGGGACCATCTGCCCTCCAAAGAGAGTTTGTCTCAATAAAACACTAACAAGAACTAGCAGGCAACTATATTATTTTCAGGTCCACAACAGAGATTCCTCTTCTTGAATAAAGACATGAATATTTGGTCAATGAGCAGATGTATCCATAGGTACCAGAGTAGGTTCTGAGGCTATTTATATAAAGACCTGAGCTCTTTCACTCTAGTTGGAGTAATAACACACATATGAATACACACACACACACACACACACACACACACAAAGGTGGCTGTGGTTGTTAAATAAGTGACACAAATACACAGTAATGGGATTAGGAGGAGAGGTTCCTTTGGCTTGGGGGGATTAAGGGAAGTGGAATAGTGCTGCTCTTTTCAGACTTAAAAATCATCAGTCAAAAAAGCTAAAAGGTAACTATCAAAATTTCAAATAATATATACCCTTTGAACCAAAAATCTTAGATATACTTGTACATATGCAATAAGACTTGTCCATCAACAGGAGACTAGTTAAGTAAGTTTTGGTACAGAAACATGATGAAATACTGTGAAGCTATAAAAAAGCAATCGGGAGGAAACAAATGTCTATGTACTGATATAGAGAGATCACTTACTATAACTTGTTAAAAAAGCAAGGTGAAGAACAATATGTTTGGCATGTTTCCTTATAAAAAATGAGGGGGAATAAGAACATATATGCACATTCAAAAAAACAATGGTACTGGCATAAAAACAGATACATAGATCAATAGAACAGAAGAGCGCATAAATAAATTTATGCCATCTGACAAAAGAGGTAAAAATATACAATGGGGTAAATATGGTCTCTTCAACAAATGGTGATGGGAAAACTGGATGGATACATGCAAAAAAAATGAAACTGGATCACCTTCTTACACCATGTACAAGAATAAACTCAAAATGGATTAAAGACTTAAATGTAAGACCCAAACCATAAAACTTCTAGAAGAAAACATAGGCAGTAAACTCTCTGACATTGCTATTAACTTTTTTTTCCTGATATATCTCCTTGGGCAAGGGAAACAAAGGAAAAAATAAACAAATGGGACTATATCAAACTAAAAAGTTTTTGCACAGCAAAGGAAATCATCAACAAAATGAAAAGAAAACCTACTGAATGGGAAAAGGTATTCGCCTATGATATGTCTGATAAGGGATTAATAGCCAACACTTATAAAAGAACTCGTACAACTCAACAACAAAAAAACAATCTAATTAAAAAATGGGCTGAAGACCTGAACAAGTATTTCCCCAAAGAGGAAATACAAACAGCCAATAGACATATGAAAAGATGCTCAAGATCATTAATCATTAGAGAAATGAAAATTAAAACCACAATGACTATGGCAGTGCTACTCTGAACGTGCCCAATCTCGTCTGATCTCAGAAGCTAAGCAGGGTTGGGGCCTGGTTAGCACTTGGATGGGAGACCACCTAGGAATACCGAGTGCTGTAGGCGTAAAAATAAAATAATAAATAAATAAAATAAAATAAAACCACAATGAGATCTCGCCTCGTACCTATGAGAATGGCTATCATCAGTAAATCAAAAAACAACAAGTACTGGCAAGGATGTAGAGAAAAGGCAACCCTTACACACTGTCAGTGGGATTGCAAAATGGTATAGCAACTATGGAAAACAGTTTGGAGGTTCTTCAAAAAATTAAAAATAGAACTACCTTTTGATCCAGCAATTGCACTTCTGGGTATTTATCTAAAGAAAACCGAAACAATAATTCATAAAGATCTCTGCACCCCATCTATGTTCATAGCAATGCTATACACAATAGCTGAGATATGGAACCTAAATATCCATCAACCTAATATCCATCAACAGACAATTGGATAAAGAAGTTCTGGTCCATATATAAAATGGAATATTACCCAGCTATTAAAAAAATGAAACCCAACCATTTGCAATGACACTTCTAGACGTTATTACACTGAGTGAAATGAGTCAGACAGAGAAAGATAAATACCATATGATTTCACTTATATGTGGAATCTAAGGCATAAAAGGAACAAACTAAATGAAAATAGACTCACAGATACAGTTGCGACTGCCAGAGGGGAAGGGGATTGGAGGACCTGGGAGAAAAAGGTGAAGGGATAAAGGACAAATTAGTAGTTACAAAATAGTCACGGGACTATAGAGAATAGAGAATATAGTCAATAGTGTTGTAATGGCTATGTGTAGAACTAAATAGGTGATAGAGTAATTGGGGGGATCACTTCATAAACTATATAAATGTCTAACCAATGTACTATATACCTGAAACTAATATAAAATTTTTTAAAAAGGGAAAAAATAATATATATGTACATGTGCTTATATTCACAATGATACCTTGGAATGATGATATGCCAAGAAACAGTGATATACAAGAAACTACTCAGAGAGGGGTAGTATAAGGGAGATAGATAAGGAACAGGCTGGAAGATGGGGAAATATAGTCTTTTATATTATTTGACTTTTGAACCATATGAGTAATCAAAATCTGTTAGCTGTTGTTTGAAAAAGAAAGCTATGATGTGGGGATGGTATTATAGGTATTTGCATATGCCCCAACACAACAAATTATACAAATTAAATATCATACATGCAGGTCTTTGTACATCAATTATGGCTCAATAAAAAAAAAAAGA